CTCTTCAGAATCTTCAGGAACCTGTCACTGTTTCTTGTACTCAGTGTCCCTGTTCAGGCGGCAGATGTCCCAGCCCGTGGGACAATTGAACAGGCTACCTGAGTGACAGAGCGGAGGTCTGGAACCGGCGCAGCGTCACAACAAGAGAGTGAAACAGTGTCACAGCTCTGAATGGTATACAGTCACTCGTTTATCGAGGGCCAGAGAACATTCTTATACACACAGCAGGGTGGTAATTGGTTGCCCAATATGTAAATGAAAGATATATTTTGGACCAGTAATTGATTGTTTTGTCAGGGGGTGTTAACCAGGGGGGTGGAGCTTAGGGGCGGATTGCTGTCATGGACCTGATTGAGAAGCTGTTTGCAGATGTTAGCTAGGTTGGGGAGCCTAGGCGCAGTTTGTTTACTCCCAGAACAGGGAAGTCCAGAGGTCATCGTGTGAAAGTCATTTCAGCCATTTTCGTGCATGTGGCTCTCCAGACCAGTGGAAACATATATTCTCTCTGGTACTTACAACAGGAAACCAGTCTTAACCTATTCTCCCGGCTCAGACATGGCTGGGTTAATAGAAGCTGTTGGAGATAATGTATCTGCTTTTAAGAAAGGTGATAGCGTTTTCACTACCAACACAGTCTCTGGGAGCTATGCAGAATATGCTCTTGCTTCTGCTCATACGATTTTTAAACTTCCTGAAAAGCTGGACTTTAAGCAAGGTGCAGCCATTGGTGTCCCATCTTTTACTGCTTATCAAGCTCTGTTACACAGTGCCCTTGTGAAGGCTGGAGAACGTGTTTGGGTTCACGGGGCTAGTGGAGGAGTTGGAATAGCAGCATGCTGCATTGCTAGAGCTTATGGTTTAAAGGTTTTGGGCACAGCTAGTGCTGACTATTTTGCAAAATGGAGCCCCTGAAGTGTTTAAGCACAGAGAAGTTAATTATATTGATAAAATTAAGAAATCTGTTGGTGAAAAAAGAAATTGATGTGGTTATTGAAATGCTAATGTAAATCTTAGTAATTATTTGAATCTTCTTTCACATGGAGGACGAATAATAATTGTTGGCAGCAGAGGTCCTATTGGAATAAACCCAGGAGATACCATGACAAAGGTGTCCAGTATAATTGGAGTTACTCTCTTTGCATCAACCAAAGAGGAATTTGAGGAATGTGCTTCAGCCCTTGAAGCCAGAATGGAAATTGGTTGGTTGAAACATATAGTAGGCTCTCAATTTCCATCGGAGAAGGTGAACCAAGCTCATGAAAATATCATTCATGGTAGTGGAGCTACTAGAAAAATGATTCTTCTCTTATGATGGTTAACTCATGGATTTCCTTTGCAAGTCAAAGTTTTTACCCCACAGTTTTACTTACACTGTCTTTCCTTTAATTAACGTTCATCTGGTTGAGTAACTTTGTTATATTAGAAAACAAGATGTTGGAGAGAGCAGAGGCAGTAAACTGTACTTATAGTTGGCAATATTTTTTATACACTTACTCTCAAATCAAGGAGTGGTTACAGAAGAATATAGGATGTTATTGGGTTCATTTGACTTTGTGAGGCTTTCCTGGAATTCCTAGCTGGTGTCTGATTAATTCCATATCTTTGACAATGCAGGATAATCCAAATTAGACTGCTCAATTTACAAGGGTTTCCAAACCTACTTATGTTTACAAAGACTCTGAGGTCTCTGATCAGCCCATAACTGCATTTTATTCTGAAGATTTTTCTGAACTAAAAAAACTTCTTTTCTAAATTAATGTTGTCATGTTGCCCTGAGATCCTCCTGGGATGCTGCATTGCTCACTAATGGCTCCAGGATATTTCTAGTTCAAATCACACAGTTTGGTTTTGTCTAGGACTTTGTGGGTGGTCCACATGAATACTACATGTATCTGTTTCCTCCTTAAAACCCT